TATAAAGATCTTAAAAAACGGTCTTAGTTGGTAATCATATAAGTGACAGATGGTTATAAAAAGGCACTGTTGATTATTTGTGGCTAATTTTAAATAATACACTGACTATTGTTTGCATCATGTGGCGATAACTAAGTAAAATAATGCACTAAAATAAGTAATTGTTTTAAGTTCTTTGAATATTAGTACCATCTGTAAAATTAATAATAACGGCTGGCTGCTCATATCTAAAGATGCCTGCCTCCTAAGGCAGCTAGCCAATCCCTGTTCTAGAAGGCAGCTCAGGAACATTTGTGTTCCACACCCACAGAGCACACCTGTGGTCTATACTGCAACTATGCTGAGCGGACCTTAGTTACAGTTTCTGGGAGAGAGCACATTATCTAGCGTGATCAATAGCCTGAACAAGGCCAGCACACTTAAACCCTCGGTCATGATGACTTGTGATTTTCTGCTAGCACAACCATCGACGGCTTCCAGATAGTTCCATCTGTCCAATTTCACTCACGGGGCTTGGATCAACCCTTGGTGTGGCACTTTCCAAAGGTGCCACATGCTAGGATCACCTCTCTGCACATTGGTAATATTAAGAAGTAATCTTGTAGCAAAGAAAATGGTGAATCGTCAAACCAAGCAACAGCATGTCACGTGTATTCTTCATCGGAAAATGTGGCGAAAAAGAAAGTTACTTACCGAGAAAAAGGGTATGTATTCTACATGATATGCCGAAGACAGAATAGCCAAAACAGAAACCCATCAGTAGCAGGTGTTGCCATAAATGTATCTTGGATATTCTAATATTGTCCGTCCTCTCCCAACGAAAAAATTGTTGTCGATAAAAGCAGTTACTCTTCTTGAATTGGAAGGACAAAAACAAATTTGTTTATTTTGCTGCCTCACCTGTCAGCTCATGTGTGGGATTTGTGACATTAGGCGTACGAATTGTGATTTTGATATTTTTCTGCCTCTGGATCTTTGAGTTTGGACTTAGCAATTTGTTTACTTTGTTGTGGAAATGAGTTGCCACATCAATTTTATGAACAAGTCTTCTTGGCAAATTCTAACACAGGTTGCATGGTCAGAAAGCGAACACTTTGTCATGTGCTCATTATAAAAGTAATACCGCATTGTCAGTGGTCAGGAATCAATGCAGGCATTACTGACTAAAGAGAGACTTTTTATTATCTTCATAGAACAGCCTCTCTGCTTCTAGCCAAAGATACACTCATGTGACTCAACTCACTCCAGAGTTCATAGCTCGGTTTAAGGAATTGTGTCTATTTGATTATGTTGTCATGCAACCTTCTTTGCTGGGTCCTCTGCTTCCCCACCTCCTTCAGCAACCATTTATTCGATACATATTTTTGATAATTCTTTTTTGTTTGACATGATTATATAACTTAAGGGTTTTACTCTTTATTAAGGAGGTCAGAAAGATTTGTATCCTTACCTGATCTGTTAGGTGATTGTTGGTCATAAATCATTTTACGATGAAAATTCATTGAAAAATCAAGAAGAGATCGTTGACAGTAAAACTATTACCTGGATAAAACAGTTTTGTTTTGTTGTCTCTTTCAGGTTTCGAGACACTTTCCTGGCCATGGGTGGATCGATACCAGCCAATGAAATATTTAGACTCTTTCGAGGAAGAGATCCCTCACCGGATGCCATACAGTTGATAGGAAAATAAAAATCATTGTTCAATGATTAAATAGAAAATAAAATTTATGCCATCAAGATGCAAAGATTTCAACAAAGTGACTTTCCTTTTTTTTGCTTTTTGATTCCCCCCCACCAAGAAAATTCAGTAGAAACATTTTTATAAACAAAAAGGTTCCTTCCTTATCCCTCTGCTTTGAATAATAATAAAATTGTTTTTGTTTGAAATATTGATTTTAATTGGCAATGATTAAAATGTTTCTGTAGAGTAATACAAGTGATGCTGTAACTAGAAATAATCATTTTTTTTCTTCTATATTACTATAGATTCAGCTCTAGAAAAAATGTTAATTTTTATAAAAGTTAATATGGGGGGAGGGGAATCCAGTTTAATTTCATTGATTCTTAGTCGCAGTCTATTTCCCACCACCATAACGTAGCTTCCCTCTATAAATACTTTCATGGTAATTGTGATACTTAGACTGAGAATTTAAGTACAGTATTAGTTTGGCAGCAAAATCTCATCATTTTCCAGCTGAAATAGCTAGATGTAACCTTAAGTTCTGTACTAACAGTTTCTTTTCTCACACTTCTTGCTTGTGGGACTCTTCTGTTTTCTTGCTTCCTAGTTAATTTTGATCTTCAAAATTTGAAATGCAGTGTCTATGGTTATCTTTTGTCTTAATTCTTGTGCTTGCTCCTCAACACACTCGGTAACACCCCTGCGTCTTAGTGGCTTTGTTGCCTTGCTTGGCATGAAATGGGGGGGGGGGTCATTATAATTGATGACCCTATGCAAGTGAAAATAAATATGCTCATAAGACATGATTTCTTGAAATATAGTCTAGTCAAATTAAGCTGAAAACATCCATTCTTGTTCAAGGCCCTGCAGTTAAGCAGCATTAAGCCCAATCAGTACTTAGATGGGAGACTGCTTGCTTACATCAGGTACTTAAAATTCTCCTACAATCTGAAATATTTTCTGGCTTTAAATAATCTACAAAGGGTTGATGAGCTATAAAGAAATAAATCAATTAATCTTAAAATGTAAAAAAAAAGAAAAAAAAATTTAATTCATAATCTGTATTGCTTAATATATAAAAATATCACTATGATATGAATTAAAAAAATGAATTAAAAAAATAAAAAAAAAAGCAATTTTATTTATTTATTTTTTTACATATTAACAATTGATTTATTTATTATTTTTTGAGACAATGATTGACTGATACAAATCTTACTAATTAACCCATAGTTGGGAGGGAAAAGTGGTGGATTCATACCTTTCCCAGAGGTATTTGATCAGAAGTGAACATAATGAACCCAACTGGTATGCAGCTCTCTGATTAAAAATTACAACCCCTTATCCATCACACCACCTACACCTGTTATTTCCTAGAGGACACCCATCTAGTACTAACCAGGCTCGAAGTTGCTTAACTTTGGTATGGGAACCAGAGTTTCAGAGTGATGTGGCCATAAGCCTACATTTTAAGAAATGATGGCATATTTGCTGTAGGGGGACCAGTCTATAATGAATTTACATAGAAAACTAACCCCCCATATTGACTTTTATAAAGTTAAAAAAACAAACAACAAATAAAACAAATTGTATAATACTTGTGATCTTGAGTGTTTAATCTATCATATGAAAAGAAAAGCAATTATTTCTGTTGTGTAATCAGGTTTTAAAAAGAAAGAGTCCATCTTTAACTTTCAGGTCTGCAAAAAAAATTAGGATTGTCATAAAATCTTAATATTAAGTGAACTTATACATTTTTTTTTTGTTCTTGAGAATTTACAAGAATATTAATCACTATTAGGTTGTTTATTTACAAGAATAATTTTATATTTACAACATATTAAAATCTAACACAATTGCATTATACTAATCCAAGGCAATATTTATCATTTACTAATTTACAAAGAACTAAATACGAAAACAATTTTATACTCATAAATTTATAAACATTTCCTAAATTATCAAAATATATCAAGCAACTATAAGAAATCCTTATTTACCATTTTATAAAGTTTGCATCAATTGGCAATTAGTCAATGTTTTGCCAACCATTCCAAGAAATAATAAATAATGTTTATTATTTTTGCTGTCCATTCTCAAGAACAAAAATGTATAAATTAACTTTTATATGTTTAGGTCTTATTAAAGTTCTAATCATCACTTTATTCTAATATTTCTCCGACCTTTTTGGTGACAATCACTTGTATTTCTTTCTTAATGGTAATTTTTCCTCAAGCTTCTAGTGTACAGGTCTTTTTTGATGACATCTGCTCATACTTCTTTCGTATTTGTATTAAAATATCGTCATTGGATTATTTAAGTGGTATTTCTTTAATCTTACTTTTCATGAGATTTTTCTTTTTATCACAACTTGCAGTAGCATTGGAAATAAAATGTCATGGTCAATTTGTCTGGGTTGTCTGCTTTGCCACTAACCATTGGATTCCCTGGCTAAAGGACAATGTAAAAATGCAGAATTGTTCTTGGTGAAGCTATTGAAATATCTGAACAATCTATGTATGATGGAATTTAAGGTTTAAAATTGGACTGATGGTTGGGTTTTGAGCCAATCTGGTTTTTTGATCTGAATCTTTTTATTTTATTAACATTGTCAAAGTCTGACATTTTTTTCCTATGTTTACATGTGGTGAGGAGTGATAACATTGTATTTAAAATCATGGTAAGTAAGGCCAAAATCCCAGAATCAAAAATTCTTCACCAAGTGTCAAAAACCCTTGGTTCAGTGACCTGTCATGGCCTAGGAAGACATTGAATTGGGAACTAGTTTTTTTGATCCATGAAGCTTTTTTGTTGGAAATCTGTTGCTCAAATACTTCGCTTTTTTGATCTGCAATGATTTGTCTGATTTTCTTGGTTTATTAAAAGAAGAATGAATGGGTCGTGAATTTAGCTAGTAAGAATTAAATTTTTCATTTTTTGTTCCAGCCAACCAGCCATTAGTCAATATCAAATGTCATGGAATTTGTCCTTTTCAGTCTTTTCCTTAAAAACAAACTTGTTAACCATTACACCCTGTATATAATAAAATGATTGATATGAAATATCTGAACAATCTAAGTATGATGGAATATATGAAAATCAGTTGGATGGTTTTTTTGTTTTTATTTTTATTACATTGTCAATGTTTCTTTCAGTAAGAACATCATTAGAACAACTGATGAAATTAAGGAAAAATCGTCACCTTTGCAACCTTGCTACTTAAAAACGATGTGCTTAATTTGAAATTAAAAGAAATTTTGCAGTAGGAGAATTATAAATATTTTTTTGTGAATAAAATATCAATGAGAGTCTTCGGAAACTATTTCAATGTTACAAGTTTTTCCTTTGAAAAACGATATTTACACCAGCCTTCTTCATCCATTAAGTTTGTGGCATTAGAAATAGCCACAAATTCATTCTTTTCATTATCATATTCTTTGACGGCCCATTCCAGTCTGGTACAACCTTCTTCAATTGCAGTCTGAAAATAAACAGGCAAAATATTGAATATCATAAAAAAGATAATGAGGTCCTCACCCAGCCTTCTCCAACTGCGTTTTCATTCCTGTTCTTGTTACTGTGCACAAGAAACTGGGAAAAAAAAGATCATAAGAAAACAAAAGATGAAGCCAAATGCCTCAGCAAGAAATGAGGGTCCAAACCCTATTTTCAATACATTTAAGTGTTTATTCAGGTTCAGTTGCACAGATGGATAACACTTGGTAGAATGTCTGCCACATCAGGCTAACAGACCAGCAATTCCCTTTAATTATTCCTCTCACCGACTGTCTGCCCATCTCAAAATCACAACTGGCAATACTAATGGGTAATACTGCAATAACACAAAGGACAATCTGCCTTCCAAGAGTGAAACCAGAACTGACTATTTCAAGCCCAATCATGACAGTTAATATCAATCTGGGGCTGGAAATCCTTGATGTCCGGTTTTGTTGTCACTTGACCCCAAAATTTTTTCCTTTATTTTATTCATTTGTTCCCTTTCAGTCAAGTAGATGCCACTTAGAAGACTCAAGTTCAAGAGTTCATCCTCTAGCCACAAAACATGAAAGAGCACTTCCCCCCTCTAAATGGGTCTCCCAATCAGTGTCACATAATATTAAATAATGAGATGTGAAATGTTAATGTTTTCATGTTCTGAGGAGTTGCATCTTTAATTATTCATCATTCCAGGTAATATTATATAGAGGCCATTAAATCTATTCAGATCTTTTATTAGAATCATTTGTCTTGTATTTTTCTCACTGTTTATAATGTTGATAAAACTTAAATATTTACCTGTTTTATAATCTCTACTAGTAAACAATTTATAATTTACTATGCACTAATTTTGGAGGACCCCAGAGCTCTATCTTTAGACCTACATTGTTCCTAATTTTCAGCAACAACCTTCCTCATGTCAAGACAATTTACTCCTGTGTTAATGGTTAGTTTAGTTGTGATATGATCAAATCAGTAGCTTATTTAAAAAATGACCTACAATCTGTTGCAAATTGGGGCAAGAAATGGCTTGTTATTTTTAATGTCTTCTGAACGAAACTGGTCACTTTTAATCATCTTAGGGAACCTTTTATTTGCTTTCCATCATCATTATCATGGCTGATGCTAACCTTCAGGAGAGTGACTCATTTTGCCTTCTCAGGCTAATGTTTCCCACTGATATGGAGTGGAAAGATTGTATTGAATCGACTGTTAGGTCTGCTGTGAGGAAAGTCAGTTCACTCCATCAAGTGAGACAATCTTTCACACCAAAATCTATCTTACACATTTATAAGTATACCTATTCGCCCATGCATTGAATATTGCTGCCACATCTGGTCAGGTGCTTCTGCTATATATTTAGAGATTCTTGATTCTTATCAGTTTTGACCTGGTATCTCGGCTTCAGTCACTTTCCTACCACCATAATGGAACTTCCCTGTACTTTTTTTTTTTTTTATTTTTTTTTTTTTATAAATACTCTTATCGTAATTATTCTGATGAGATTTCCTCTTTGGTATCTCAATTTTTATGGATTTAAGCATAGTACTAGATTGGCAGTTAGGTCTCATCATTTTGCAGTTGAAATGGTTTCATGTAACCATAAGTTCTATGCTAACAATTTCTTTTCTCTTACTTCTTGCTTGTGGAATTCTCTTCTTTCTTTATATCTTCTTAATTCTTATTCTTTTATTGTTCCCTCTCCTTAACAGTTGTTTTTCTCCTATTCTCTAACACTCAATAACCTGTTGCGTCTTAGTGGCTTTATAAAGGGCAAATGAATTATCTACCTGAGGAATCCTGAAGTTTCATATTGTAATTAAAAAACATATCAATGAGAATCAAAATTTGAAATAGACTTTATGAATTTAAGAGCAGTTTTTTTTTTTTGTCCCTATCTGTACCTGTTTCTTAATCCTTTATCTTTTGGAGGGTACTTTCGCAGTACCAATGTGCTTTCAGATTTCTGTATCATATTTTTCGCCATTGGTTTAAACACTTCCTAGATATTTAAATTTCCATGCTTGCTTGATTCTGATGTCTCCAATTTGTATTTATGCATCTTGGGCTGACCCTTGTGCTAACGACCATACATTCTGCCTTCTTACAATTGATGTCTTAGTCCTTTCTTCTCACTTTGCTTTACTACCTTGTTTAAGAGTTACTGCTGTTTTCTTTCTACATGTCTCCTCAACCTGATGTCATCTGTATATCTGATGCTGTTAAGAATACATTCGTGAAGAATATTTATGAGAAAGGTTTTTGATAAAATAACATTCTTCTACGTCTGTTCTCTTTGATTGGTTTGGTTTGTTTTATGACATATCAACCTCAATGAGTTATTTAATACCAACAAGATTTTTATTGCTGGTAATATTTTTTTTTTCAAAATGTATTGTTGGCAATATTTTCTTTTTTTCAAAAATGTATTGCTGGTAATAATTTTTTTTTTACAAAGTATTTCTGGTATTAAAACTTATTTTTACTGTGACAGCGACACCTGGTCCAGGGTCGAATCCTTTGGTTACGGCGCCAACTGTGACGTCGCTCCTCCTGGTCGCTCTTCGCTGTTCCAAGTGTGCCGTTCCAACCCCTTGGTTAGATGATTACCAGCCTCGCCTTTCTCAACCCGCTTCCAACACCTGGTTACTAGGGTAACTGTACTGATCTCCGGTCTGTCTACCCACGCTGTGTTTAGATCTTAGACAGATGGGATCAAACAGGGATTGGGGCCGTATGCAAGTTGAGTCCGACGGGGGTGGCAAAACACAAGTAAAAGAAAAAAACTCACGAGACAAAAAAATCACTGATAAAAAAGGGTAACAACCTTTTATATCTAATGTTCGTTACATAAAAATTGTTCTTACTTCCCGACCCGCTTTGTGGACTGTGGCACCACGCTTCTATCATACAACTTAAAGACTTGGTTGTCTACTCTTCAGAATTGTGTATGTCGGAATGTGGTCTAGTTCGACACTGGGGCTAATCTCTACCAGTCGTTCACAGCTGATTCTTCTCTTCGGCTTGAGTTGGACGTATTTCTTCACTTCGATTTGGTTTGGTCGAATTTCTGTTCTTGGGCTTGGTTTGATTTCAACTTCTTCTTCCGTCCTGCAACTCTTTTCTGTCGACTGAGGTTGAACTGATTTGCTTGTTTGGCCTGCAACTTTGCTGCCTGTCTGAGGTGATCTGAGCTCTCTGTCGTCTGAGGGGATCTGAGCTCTCTGTCGTCTGAGGTGATCTCTTCTCGCTGCCGTCCGGGGCTGAACTCATCTGCTTATTTGGCCTGCAACTTTACTGCCTGTCTGGCCTGCAACTCTTCTTGTCTGGCCCGCAATTCTTTGGCCTGTAGCTCTTCTTCTTGTCTTCGACTTGGCTGCAACTTCTCTGCGGCTTTCGAGCAATCTTCTTCTTCTTCGACTTGGGCTGGAAGGATTTCTTGTCTTAGGATTCTCTTGCCGCAAGGGGCGAATGAACCGGGCCCGTCGCCCTGCTTCCAACTGCTCTGGCCGTCTACCCCGCAACTGATTTCTGTCGATTGGGGTTCTGCTTTTATTGACGCCGCAACAAACCGGGGGGTCTGTCGGCGCCAGGGCTCTCGATAATTCCAATAGTCGCATTATTTCTGATTTCCCATTATCGCTACTATTTTCACCCTACTTTCTCACAGTGCCTCTGATGGGGAGGCGATACCCATCTCTCCCGGTCTCTCGTATATCAGGTGACCGTTTTGACCAATGGGTCTTGATCGAGCGTCCTTTCTCCTCTTCTCGCATATCACGTGACCGCTTTCGCCAATGAGATTCTGGTTGGGCGTGTGACGTCTCCAATCGGGCGTGGCTTATCCCGGCTTTGTTCTGGGAAATAGACACCTTGCTAAAAAAAAAAAATCTAATTTGGCCTTTTTTCGCACGCACGAAAAATGACAATATCGGCCTTTCTCACCTTCCTGGTCTTTGTCAAAACAGCCTGCCGCTAATTAGATATGACTTCAGGAAGAATATTGGCGCTATCTGTGAGCCAAGACAATCGTTCTTCACCTCTTTGTTTTGTGCTCAGACCTGATAGTCAAAAATCTTAATTATCTGAATTGAAAATGTCTTCACTTCATCATCGTGGGAGTTCTGATCTTTAACAGGTCAGAATCTGTATACAATTCCAGCGGTCACCTTCTCATCCCAAAAGACACTTTTCCCCCGATTAATATTTCGTTTCCATTGTTCTAAAAAATCCCATTTCTCCAAATTGATAATGAGTCTTCTACACAAAAGTAGGCCAGATGGTTCGAATCGACATTTTTATCAATCGCATATATGTTCATACACTTTTACCAAGCCTGTTTTCTTTCTTTCTTTTTAATTCTATTCTCCCAAATAACAATTCCCATTGTCTTTTTAAAATTCGGTCAGGCACGTTGGCCTAGATACCTTTTTTTTTTACACCTGTTTTCGCTAATGACCGGCCTTTTTGCATTACTCATTCTCTTTCTCTTTTCCCCTTCTTTTCTTTCTTCCCTTAGGATCGCCTAATACAATTAGAGAATTATTCTCAAAACTCAATTATTCTTCGTCTAAAAAACTAACAACTGGTTAATAAACCGAATAAAAAAAATTAAATCATATTTCTATGAATATTTCTTTTTTCTAATAATGCAAGGTGCCACATTACACTTTCATAGTGTTTTGACCCCAGTTTGGATGCAGCAACTATTTGCCCATAGCTGGGACTCTAACAGGTGCTACCACCCCGGGTCAGGGTGGACCTGGGAACACCAGCAATTAACAGGTGGTTCCATGTTCCTCAAAACCTCCTGATCAGAGGCCTTGCTGTTGGACATAGTTTATCGTCTTACAGCAAGTAGTCACCCATCTATTTACTGATCAGGCTCGATGTTGCTTAACTTCAGGGATTGAACGGGAACTGGTGTTTCAATGTGATGCGACCCAAAAATACCTTTCTTCTGTGTGTTTCCTGCGATGTAAATGGCCTGGGTCCATTGTTTTCTGTTGCTGATATGGAAAGATGAAAATATGGCATATGATTTCTCGCTTAGCTTTATGCATCTTTCGATCATAGAGTCTTTGTAAGCATTCAAAGTATCCTGCAAAATTTTGCTGAACTACACTGATATACCATGGGTTATAAGATAGGAGTGTATATGCATAAAGTTATGGGATGCCACATCATGGAAATTCTCAGGCACATATCAATTGCGCCTTGACATCTGCTATTTGAAAATACGCTGCTCTTGGTAAGACAATGTGATTTATAATCTTACGAATGGAGTGAGAGTGTGCCAGATGAATCGGACATTCCTTTAGTGAAATTTGGGGGACAATTCACCTGATGTCATGTGTATACCTGGAATACCTGATGGAAGACATTAATGCTCATCGGGGACAGTGCAGTGATTGACTAATGTCACCAGAATATAATGAACCCAACTGGAATTGGAACTTAGCTTTTTAATTAATAAATCCAAGCCATTACACCACCTACACATTCAAGCTTACAGTGCCTAGAATTTTCAAGTCATCACCCATCTAGCTACTGATCAGGCTCAACATTGGTTCCTATATAATCACTGAAGTTAAGCAATGTTTCAATGTGATGTGGATGTAAATAAATTTTATTAAAGAGAAAAATTCATGGATAAATTTTATTAAAAAGCAAAAAAAAAGAAAAAACATATATATTAGTTTCACTAAAAGCATAAATATGAATAAATTTTGTTAAAACAATAAATATCATGAATTAATTTTATTAAAAATAAAATAAAAATGTAATTTGTCGGAGACAAATTATTCACAATAACTCACCTTGCATAAAAGAATGAAGAGTTCCTTTGCAACACTTTTCTTAGTAAATTCAGGTGTGATGTATACGTCGGTTAATAAAATGGATTTACCTTGCCATGTAGAATAGATGAAATGGAAAAACAGGTAACCAATCAATGGTTTTGCACCTGAAACAAAAAATTAAAAGGTGGAAGATAAAAAAAAAAAAATCTATATTCGTTAATGCAATGGTTCCAATATTTCCAAATCACAAAAATCAGAAGTCATTATGCATTATGCATGTAAATAACTTATTTTTTTAACACTTCTCTGAAAGATTTTTTAACAATTAATATAATTTCATCACTCAGTCAACACTATATAGTTATTTTTCTATATGTAACTTAGATGTGGCACAAGGCTGAAAGTATGGAGCACCCAGTGAGGATTGAACTCACTACACAGTTGTAACTGATCTTTTGAGATCATCTTGCTAACCATTACACTACATCAAAGTGCCCAAGGGATTTTCTTGGTGTAGCTTAGATGTGGCACAAGGCTGAAAGTATAGGGCACCCAGTGAGGAACAAACTCACAACACAGCTTGTTAACCATTACACCACATTGACGTATCCTTTACTCGACATAGCATAATGTGGCACAAGAACGAAAGAATGGAGCACTCAGTGAGAGTCAAACTCCCTACTCGGTCATAATTTACCCAGTCAGATAACTTGTTAACTATTAAACTACATTTAAGCATCTGAGTCAACACTATATGGCTCGGACAGATTAAGTCTAATATTGTGTAACTTCCTTAGTTTTCACATGACGACAACAACAACAAGGCCTAGTGTTGTTCTATGTGCCATGTCCAATCAGGATGTTGACAATGATGGCTCTCCACAATTTACTGTCCTTGATGAGCTTGTGCAAATGGACGGGAGTTGGAGGAATAATAAAAAACCAAACATTGCAAAGAGCTGCAAAGGATAGGCAGTTATGGAGAGCCATGATCTTTGCTTCGTCTAGATCTAAATCAAACAGGAAAAATTAGCCTTTACAAACAGAATCGTAACAATTCTAGTAGCCAATAAGATGGAATGTATAACAAGGAAAGAGTGCTTGGAGAATTTGACACTCACAGGATATAGTGAGGGACACAGTGAGTAACCAACCTAAGAGTCTTATGTAAATGGATGCCAGAACACGGAGTGGGAGGAGTCGTAATTACTTAGAGCTATCAAGGAGAGGAAGTTGTAGAAAATCAAGATTACTTGATTGATTTGTTACTTGCAGGTTATTTAAAGCCAGAAAATCTTTTAGATTGTAACAATTTTGATGAATGATGATTTATTGATACGAGTCTTACTAATTAACCCATAGCTGGGGGGAAAGAGGTGAATTCATAACTTTCGCAAGGGTATTTTCATGTAAGTGAATATAATGAACCAATGGGAATTGAAACTTCGCTCCCCGATAAACAATTCCAACCACTATACATTACACCACCCATACATCTAAGCCTGGTATTCTCATCTATTTATTCACCAGGCTTGACATTGCTTAACTGCAGTGCTTGTATGGGAACTGGTGTTTCAATGTGATGTGGCCATAATCCACCAAGATTGCCTATGTCCTGAATTGATATGGCACATAGAAGGCAAAATGCTATTTCCCACAAATCACACCATACTGGGCATTAAAATAAATACATTTCTTTGATACTAAAAGAGTTAATGAAATCTGTTAAATTATCTGACCACAACCTGATCATATAGACAAAAATCTTCTCTTTTACATTTTAATTGATGCTGACACTGCTCTAGCACTCCTCACTCATTAGTCCTGTTACTTGAACGAAGATCTCTGGTTAAATCCCATGGCTAGCTGACCAACTGCTTCACACATATTTATGACTGAAAATTCTCAATACAAGTATACACAAATCACATGACCAGATGATACGCTTTGCTGCTATTACAACATGTTTAATATTGTATGTTACCTTGATATACAACCTTGTGCAAATTAATTGAAACAATCACTTTACTTTCGTTTCCTTCACCATATGGTCAGTTTTAGTCCCACTGGAGTGACAGGATGTAATCAATTTCTATTTTTCCTCAGTTTAGATCATTTGCAGTGGCGTGCAGTAATATGAGTCTATTTTCGGTGTGTATAATGAAATTTGTTTGGCCTTGAAAAATATTATGTCATCCTTGATCACATCAGATTTTCATCACACCCAGACACTATTGTCTCGACTACTGATTAGTTGTCTTACAACCATTGTCTGCGATGAACATTTCTCCAAGGAAGCATCCAAAAATTGTACCACTGCACAAACACACTGGCAAGCCTTACCAGTGAGCAAATCAAAGTACTATAGATTGACCTGGAAACTCTCCTGATTTAAATCAATAGAGAATCTGTGGTCAATCTACAAGGAACAACTTTGTGGAATGGACATACAAAGTACTAACATGGACTTTGATATAAATGGGACATACACCTGCTGTGCTTCAATCACATTGTCATTGATTACTGACAATGCTGGGGGCAAATATTTCTTAAATTAATAAAAAGTTAAACATTACTACATAATTATAATTTCAACATGTACCTTTCAACGGGCGTGAATCAATAAAATCTGTTGATTCTTTTACATCCCTAGGAAGCGAAATTCTACTGAAAAGGATATGAAAATTTGCATAGCTAAAGCCTTGCCCACCTTGAATAAAATGGATGTACTCTGGAAATCTGATCTATCAGACAACCTTAAATGGAATTACTTTCTGTAGAGTTGGTTTTAATATATGGTGCCACTGCTTTGGACATTAACTAAAACCCTTGAGTCTAAGCGTGATGGAACCTACACTCGGATACAGAGAGCTATACTTAACATCTCTTAGAGACAACATTTAACTAAATCACAGCTCTATGCAGTCATCCCTGATATTTCTACAATCTTATGTGATTGCAGAATGCATTTTGCAGGACACTGCCGGTGAGTAACACAAGAACTTGCAAGTGATCTACTGCTCTGAACATCATGCCATAAGATTGGTTGGTTGCCCAGCAAAAACCTACATTGACCAGCTATGTTATGACATATGATATCACCCTAATAACATATGATATCACCCTAATGACCTTCTGATACAGAGCCGTAATGTTTGGTATGATTGACTCATGAATATCCAAGCTAGCAAGACCAAATAGAAAAAAAAAATAACCGACAATACTTTGTCGTTTAATATGGAAGAAAGGGTTCCTTTCTTGAGTTTCTTAATAATTTCTAGACAGAGTTGTGTAAAAGATACATTATAAACCTCTGTTTAATACAGTGTGTATAAAGAAATTAGTTGGGGTGGGGGGTTAATAATTCAATATGGCTTCTTTCTACAAACTTCCCATGAGTATTTTATAGAAACTGGCAACACAAACTATGGATGTCAACTTGTAAAGACTTGCAAAATAAATTTAATTTCTCTTACAAAAAAATAAAGAAAACAAATTTAGTTCTTACCTTTTTGGTCTTCAGCAACAAGTATATGAAATAATTTCCCCAAACCATCTTTCTTCAGGGCTGCAGGTTCCAGATGAAGAAAATCAAAGATTTATTGCAATTCATTTAATAAGTAATAATGATTAATATTCAATATTTTTACTATTCAAATCTCCACTCAGCACCACCCATGACTCTCTTTTGACTGGTTCATTCTCCAAACAGCTTTTAGAAATTATTTGTTAGACTTGGCAAGTCAACAAGAAGGTAACACTGCAGTTTCACAAAATGGATAAGTAAACTGGACCAGCAAGAGAATATGCAGCAGATTGAATGTCACCTGAAGAAGGTTAGAGACTGCCTTGTAAAAAAAAAAAAAAAATGAATAGAATAAAACACGTGATGATGCTTGTAAAAAAAAACTCAAGATTAGTTACAAATTGATGGTTGATAGGGATGGATGTAACCTCAACATCTCTGGTGCAAAAAACTAGCAAGCCATTGCACTATTCTGCATTGAATGTCACCATGAACCATAATTGTGAGATGGAGGGGAGTAGTGATCACAGAGGCGTTCATTCATGATGTTGATGATCACAGCACTCCACTACATCCTATGTAGCTTGATGTAATTTTTCTACTCTTACTATCTTCTCTGTGAATTAAATAAATGACTCCAACAAGACTTGTATGTGGAGAGAGAATTTATTTTGTGACCTTCCAACACCATGTGGTGGTAACCAACTGTCCCTACCCCTGCGTTTCCACCTCAATCATACCTCACTCATAGAGAAGCTACAAGGGGAACAACTTCACGTTGATTAACATTCTCATTCCGTCTACACAAGTTCATTAGGGCGGATAATCGATGTTTTCCCTCTGCTCTTTTTTCTTTCAATATGTCCAGCGGATGTCAAATTCTCCATTCATTTTTCCTCATTATATCTCCTTGAAATTTCAGGTTCTTTCTGATTCGAGTCCTTTTTGTTCTTTTCTATTTTCCTGAAAACTGAAATCTTTGAGTTCATGGCATAGCAAGACTTTACTTTAAAGTCTGAAATATGGAACTAAAGAATATAACTCATAAGAAAATATTTCATGAAAATAGGGAGAAAGAATAATAAAAAGAAAAAGATTCATAGAGACAAAAAATGACAGTTTGCGTTACATTTAGATTTTGAAGTTAGGTTTGCTTTTGCTTTTTTTTTTATTTCGCAGCATTTCAACCTCTAGGGATCATTTAATGTCGAAATCTAAATATTTTATACACAATTTATTATTTTTTCCTACAGGTAATAATGGTTTATTGATACAAGTCTTACTAATTAACTGGGGCGAGGGGTAAGAGGTGGATTCATACCTTTCCCAAGAGCATTTGCGCGTAACTGATTATTATGAACCCAACTGGAATTGGAACTCAACTCAATAATTAACAATTCGGAGCCGTTATCCATTACGCCAGCCTATCATCCAAGCTTACGGCATGTGGTATTCCCAAGCAGCCACCCATCTAAGTACTGACCAGGCTTGATGTTACTTAACTTAGGCGTTGCAAAGTGATATCACCTTAAGCCTTTGAGGAACGGGGTTGACAGGAAAGCAAGAAGCTGAAAGAAAGTTCCACAGCTGAAAAGTGTGAGAGTCCCAAACCCATTAGAAAATGACTTAAGGCTACATTAAATAATTTCAAAAAGTAAAACGATGAGACCTAACTTCCAATCTAGTACTAGTTAAATGCAGTTTACGAAGATATGTAAGATAGATTTCGCTTAACCTTAGACTTGAGGAGGTCAAGATTGTAGAGGTCGGGGAAGCATTCTCACGTGTGTCTGCTCCACGAAGTAGAGTTTGAAAGAATGAATAAGTCGACCGTAGTGCGGGATCATTGAGTCAGGGCGAAGAATCTTTTCATTAGCTGCATAGACTGTGCTTCACCAGGGCTGCATACAGTTTTGAATTCAGTTTTCCTTCTTCTAGATAAGTTGCCAATCAAGGCTATAGAACACAGTCTGTTTTACTATTTACTCATAGATAGCTGTCCAAATGGAACTTCCTCCTTCCTAATGGTATACGAAGGAGATGAAGATGAGTCTTCTTTGAGTTTATGGCATAGCAAGACTTAGCTTTAAAGTCTGAAATATGGAACTAAGGAATATAACTCATAAGAAAATATTTCATGAAAATAGGGAGAGAGTATCAAGAGGCTTGCGACATTGCATTTCTTGGGAAAGGGTTAAAGAATTTGCCACCTATAAATCTGCGTAAATGGCTTTGTACTCTGTCAAAACTGAAAAAAAGAAGATTGTGTAGCTCCAGCACATACATGACAGTGATAAGCCATTTTTGGTCGGATATGATAGAGCCTGTCAGGAGGCATGAAGTATTTACTGCAGTCAGGTTAAGGAGGCGACCATTTTCCCATCATCTTTAGTGATGGACCGAATATATTAGTTACGTTTGAGGTCTGAAGTGAATGTGAACCACTTTTGCTGCCTTGTCAGTCGTACTTCTTTAACTTCAAGAGGAAGGACAGTGTGACCTCAACATCTTTGGGGCAAAAGGAACCAGCAAGCCATTACACTATTCTGCCTTGAATACCACCATGAACCACAATTGTGAGATGGAGGGGTGGGGAGAGTGGTGACTACAGCGGCAGCTCAAAATGTGAATAATAAGATAAAACGATAATGGTATGATTGATAAGGCAGCTCTCCAACATGTGCAAGTGAAATGAATCTGGCTTCAACAAAACTCGGCTAATTTCCTTCTACTCACCAGATATAAACTCTATTGAGAAAGTTTGCCACATATTGCATATCTCATTAAATTCCTTGCATCCAAACACAATGCCATTGGACCATGGAAGTCTGGTGCCATGTTGTTTGGTCAAATCTGCAGTTCTTTTGGGCAAATGGTCAGGTTCAGGTATGGAGGAGCCTGTAAAAATATTTTTTGTTCAAGCTGCTACTGATTCTGTAATGGTGTTTGGTTTGGTTTGGTTTATTTTGTTTTACTGCATATCAACCTCAATGGGTTATTTAATGCCGACAACATTGCTGGTAATATTTTGTTTTGTCAAAAATCTGTTTCTGGTAATATTTTTCCTTCAAAAATGTATTGCTGGTAATAACCTTTTCAGAAAAGTATTGCTGGTAATAGTTAACTATTTGCCTATAGCTGGGACCCTAACAGGTGCTACCACCCCGGGTCAGGGTGGACCTGGGAACACCAGCAATTAAGAGGTGGTTCCACGCTCTTCAAAACCTCCTGATCAGAGATCTTGCTGCTGGATGTAGTTTATTGTCTTACCCAGGACACGGATGTAGTTTAATGTGTTACCCAGGACGAGTAAAGGTGTTTGGAGGGTGTTCACAAGGACCCCGAATGAAACTGTAGCCTATACCCCAGAAAGAGTTTGGAGTGTGATAAGAAGTGTAGTATTAAATCCCCAAGGGAGATTGATGAAAGGCTGTAATAAAGGACAATGTTTATAGAATGCCAAAATTACAATTCCTTTAGTTTATGCCGCACATGTAGCAAACCACATGCATTCTATTCGTATTTATTCTGTTGGTGAGATGTAATTTCCACTGAAGCAGTTGTTGCTTTGTGGAACAGACTCCCAAGAGGATGCTTCCTGGTCACTAAAATCTTAACCTGTTCAAGTCTAGGGTTAACTTATCTTTCCCAGTTATTCCCATAAACTGTACCTCTTGCTTTGTATACCCTATACCTCAAGTTGCTCTTAGGGTGAACATCATTGCAAAAAAAATAAATTAAATTAGCACCTAAAATTTTTGAGGTTTGACTTAGGATTACGTAAAACAAAGAGCACCCACCCCTCAACCACACTTGTCCCTGACAAAATGATAATCGAGATAAACAATCAGGTTTATTCTAGGTCTGACCTTAGCCAAAGTTTAGTGACAAAATTTTATGTTATTTTTTCATGTTTTCTACAATTTGTCTCATCTGCAGTGGTCAAGAATTCGGATGAGCCCTGCCAATGAGAGTCATCAAAACTCTTCTGCTACTAAGCCTCTATAGAAATCAAATTGTAACCTGACATGTGAAAGAAACATATTCTCCATAAATACAGGGAGTCGGCATAAGCTGAGTCAGTAAGCTTTTTGCAGGTGAAGCAACGAGAAAGACATGATTGTTGTCTGGCCAGCTATTTCTTCAGTTGAACCGTTTTACTTCACTTGTCCAAGAAGAACTGAGATTTTATCTCTGGCTAATTTGTAACTAATAATATCATATTAATAGTCAGGTAATAAGATAAATGTCAAGTGCAGTTTTTTGTTTTAAAAATCGACCATAGCAGAATCATTCAGTCAATGTGGATTCCATGATTCTTTCCTTAGCTGTATATTATGTGCTTCACCGGTGTTACATACGGTTTTGATTTCTGAGATGTTCTTCTCCTAGACCTGTTGCCTACCAAGGCGATAGGGCCCAGTTTTTCCAGCTATTTACTCAAAGCTGAGGCAAGAAGAGATGGATTCATGCCTTTCCCAAGGATATTTACATATAAGTGAATGCAATGAACTCAACTGGAATTTGAACTTGGCTCTCTGATTCCTCAATCTAAACCGTTAGCCATTACTCTACTGTACTTCCTTAAATTTAATAGTAATATTAATAATAAACAGAGTCGACACAAGAGCTTGCATATCTTGGTTATTATTTCATAGATAGAACTCTTGACTACTCAAAAAAAGTCCTGAGGGAGGGAAATGATTTGACTAGGATCAAGGTGGGCTCAGATCAATAATCACAATGTGTGTGAGTAGATCCATGGTCAAATGCAACACTCGACTCTGTACAGGTATAAAGTAAGAGTATTTAATATTAGAAAAACCTTAGAAGAAATTATCCCCAAAATTAAGGGGTAAAAAATAATAAACTTACTTTCAGGTGAAGGTGGTGTCTGCTTATCACCAGAACTGACTTGCTCCTGCAGCAAATTAAAATATATATATATCTACAAATATAACAAATCAACTATATATACATATATGTGTGTGTGTGTGTGTGTGTGTGTGTGTGTGTGTTTAGGTTTGGTTTGGTTTGGTTTGGTTTGTTTTACGGCATATCAACCTCAATGGGTCATTTAATGCCGACAAATTTTTTTTTTCCTGGTAATACTTTTGTTTTGTCAAAAGTCTATTTCTGTTAATATTTTTTCCCTCAAAAATGTATAGCTGGTACTATTATTTTTTCAACAACGTATAGCTGGTAATAATATTTCTTCAAAAATGTAAAGCTGATAATATTATTTTCTCAAAAATGTAAAGCTGGTAATATTATTTTTTTAAAAACGTATTATCAGAGGCCTTGCTGTTGGACGTAGTTTATCGTCATACCCAGGACATGGATGTATTTTATTGTCATACCCAGGACATGGATGTAGGAAGATCACGCATGTAAGTATCATTTGCTTTAGAAACAGGACATCCATAATAATTTTTTGTCTGGAGAAGGAACATATTTTTAATCTAAAAATTATTTTTTATATTTTCAAATGAATAAATAAGAAACAAATCACATGCAACAGTGTGTTAACCACTGTCATCTGTGATAAAATTATAATGGGACTTCATCTTTTTAATTATTGAGAATTTTTTTCTCCAAAAACAATTGCTAGTTCTATGGTAGATGCTTACATGTATGGTCTTCTGTGATGAAAATGGTGGAAACAGTGTCAATGAAAAACTACCTTGAATCTTTTTAGTATAAGAAGACCTTATGATGAGCCATATCTAATGTGGCCCACTGGTCAGAAAAGGTTACCCATGCCTGTTTTATAATCAATGTGCAGACTTATGTGTGAACAATGTTCCCTATTTAATCTTTTTATCTGTCTGACAGAAATTCAGTTTCTTTTAGATTTTTCCTGTGACATCATGGCTAAGCCAGTTACGAAGTTGAAATTTTCCTTAAAACCAGTTGTAAATACTGAAACATTTTCTTAAAGTCCTCTAAAAGGAAGACCTTTAGATTTTAATTTTTATTTCTAAAAGATAAAGATACAAATTTTGGTCAAAGAGCAATGCTGATACAGCACAACTCCCAAGATTACAATGCAGGTTCACTCCTGGCTGTTATAAGTATTAATGCACACTCACTGCTGATTTGTGTTGTGAATTTTCATTTATTTTAACATGACAATTTATGCCAATCTGTACTTTTTTAGGCATCTTTTGTATAACCTAATTTAAATGAAAACATCCACTTGACATTTTCTTTATCCATGAACCAAACTTTTAACTTTTTATTCACCCAAGAGGTTTCTACTTTTATAAAGCGTACCTTTTTTAAAAATTAATTTCATCTCAAGTAAGGCAATAAAGCCACTAAGATGCAAGGAGTGATAGAAATAAAAAGAAAAATCATTATTAAGGAAAGAGAACAATAGGAGAACAACAATTAAGAAAGCAGTATTTAAAGCTTTTAAAATCAAAGTGGAAAGCAAATATTCGGAAGAGCGCTCCACAGGCAAGAAGTGTGAGAGAAGAAAATGTTAGCATAGAACTTATGGTTACATTTAACCATTTGAACTATAAAATGAAGAGGCCTAGCTGCCAGTTGTACCTATTAATTTTTAATTTTATTTCATAGTTTATTTTATTTCTTTCTCTCCCCATTCCAACTGAGCCTCTAGTTAAAAAAAAAAAAAAAAAAACCTGAAAGATCTCAAAGAACATACACACCTCATAAAAAAAAAACTATAATTATATTGCACTCTTTATGCAAGGGGTGCTGAAAAGTTCATGGTTCAACCCACTTTTTAATATCTGACCAAATATATTTGTCAGATCAAGAACTTTTCAGCGCTTTCTCATTATATATAACAACAAAGACTGTATTTTTGACTGGGGTAATTTCGGAAGCTAAATATTTTAAAAAGTAGTCTTAGTAAAAGTGCTCTCTACCAATCATCTGTGAGGTCCCTCTCTGCATTCTATCAGCATGGCTGATGCTAACCTCCAGGAGAGCAACTCGTCGTGCCTTCTCAGCTGACATGAAGTACAAAAGACTATATTGAATCCATTGCTAGATCAGCTGCTAAGAAAGTTGGTTCACTGTGTCATGACAGATAATTTTTCTCTCCAGAATCTATCTTACATATCTATAAGTCTACCACTCGTCCATACTTAGAATATTACTGTCACATATGATCTGGTGCTCCTGCTATATATTTAGAGATTTTTGACAAAAGAATCAGCAATATTATTGGTCCTGACCTGTCGTCTTGGCTTTAGTCACTTTTCCATTGCCTCCCTGTGCTTTTTCTATAAATACTATCATAGTAATTGTTCAGATGATCTCTTTACTATGGTACCTAGATTGGCAACAAGGTTTTATCATTTTACAGTTGGAATGGCTAGATGTAACCCATAAGTTCTATGGTAACAGTTACTTTTCCCCTGCACTTCTTACTTGTGGAATACTTTTCTGGCTCCATGCTTTCTGGCCAATATTGATCTTCGAAAATTTAAACGTAATGTCAATCATTATCCACAGTCTTCTTGAGTACTCTTCTATTGTACTCACTCCTTCATAATGTTTCTGTTATCTAATTCTTTCACACCAAGTAACCCCATTGTGTCTTAGTGGCTTTACTACCTTGCTTGGGGTGAATTCAATAAAAAATAATAGCAACACATTTAATGGACTCATCATAAAAACAAAAACAATAGAAAATTGTGTGAAAAAGAGGTGTGAGAGAAGATTGCTAAATTAAATATGTAAGTTTTATGCTAACAGTTTCTTTTCTTGCACTTCTCGCTTGTGGAACACTATTCCATCTTCTTACTTCCCAGTCAACTTTGATCTTCAAAAATGTATTGTTTGTACTGTTTTCCTGATTACTCTTTTATTGTTCTTGCTCATTAATAATGTTTTTCTTATACTTTCACTCAGTAACCCCCCCTTGTGTCTTAGTGGCTTTACTGCCTTGCTTGAGGTGAATTTAAAAAAAAGAAAAAAATCAAAGTGCTACATATCAAGAGATAGAGCATTAATAATATCTCATGATTTTCTCAACTCTGAATTTTGAAGAATTACATCTACTCTTCAAGAGATTTGATGGTTAATTGGATTTATTTTCAGGAATCATATTTGCCTTAAAACATTATTTTATAACCTCAACTTATTTAAAATTGTTTGGTTATGTGTATTACAATCTAAAGTGAAATATTAATGTGACTTGATTTGAATTCTATATGCTGCCAGTTAGTAATAGATTTTCTTCATTATTTTTTGTCAATCCAACATTTTTATTCCTTCAAATGTTATTTTTAGAGCATACCCCGTATTTGAAGTAATAAAAATATATCGCATTAAAAACATAAAATCCTTTTGAAATGGCTTTGCTTATGTTTTGGATATGAAACTGAGCAGATATGGCTTTTAAGAAAATCTGAATGGCTGAATGTGTAGTGAAGCCCCCCATGGATGAGTGGTCAAAGCATGACAGATCAGACAGAGCTTTCTTCTGCAAAGAGAAATGAAGGGGAGGATGTAGGTTCAAATCTTGCTGGAAGGCACATTCTCTTTTGTAAGTTTTCTTAAGTGCACAGACCAGTAGATGAAATAAACACTGTTAAAAAAAAAAAAAAAACCAAAAATACAAATAGGGGGGTCTTCTCAAAGAAGGATAACCACTAAAAAAATTGTTTGAAGTAATAAAAATGTTGGTTTAAAAAAATAAATGCATTAATTCTTTAGAAATTTTTTAGACCGGTAGATGTAGTTGGGTAAAAAATACTGTTTAATTAAAAAACAGAGCTTCTATTCAAATATGAGTACCCATCAAATTTATAAAAATAATATTTATATAAATAAATATATATATATATATATATATATATATATATAAATATATATAAAAAAAATAGTATGACAAGTTGGAAAAAGATTTTTCTGACGCATTTCATTCGACTGGGCTTTGTTGATGTTTATAGTGGTAACATCAACAATAATCTGGTTTTGTAGTACCTGGTAAAAATCTAGATACATAAACTTCAGATATCTCTTCCAGGATACCAATTACATTTATTCAAATGAGTATTTATACATAAAAAAAAATCGAGTTGTATGGGTTAATTTTTATGAGGTGGGCTGTCAGTTTTAATTATCTCTAATATATTATATATATATATATATATATATATATATATATATATATATATCATCATCACCTTGACTTTTTTAATTGTAGGGTGGATCTGAATGCTGAAGCCACACTAACTCTTTTCCACAATGGTCTATCAACGGCAGCCATACCTGTCTATTTTTTAACATTGTCCAACCAGATTTTGCATTGGTGCCCTCTCCTACATGAACCTTCAACGGTGCTTTGCATGGTGGTCTTGCATAGGCTGTGATGCCTTGTAATGTGTATGAACCACACCCATTTTTCTTGGTTTGTCAGTGGCGAGAAGAGGTTCATGGTGTCCCACAAAACTTTCAACCCTTTTCCACATAAACTCATTGGATTTTTTGTTCCCAATATCATATATATATATATATATATCTCCAAATGAGAGAAAGAACAAATGAAGTAAAATTTTGCTGTTTGTAGCATTTACTTTTACAAAGTGCTCAATACAAAGTAGAGTAATATATTATTATTTTATTATAAAATATTAGAACAAAAACATATTGAAATTGCTTCAGGCAATGCTAAGTGACTCTTACTTATCATTGTGTGTAGAGGCACAACATAGTGCTGAAAAATGAATGCTATTGCGTAGTGATTTCAAAATGTTTTTGTTCTAATATCTTATAATAAGAATATATATATATATATATATTATAAAGAGTTTTCTTCTTTACCACTTTCTCAACTGTACTACACACTACTAGCGTTGACTTCACAGTTCCCTCTCCTAGCTAGCAAACAATGTAGCAAGTTATATAGTAAGCAGCAGGTGTTAATAAATTTACATA